GTGAGCAAAGTAACAAAAACATCACCTGACTAAAAAGTGAAAGAAATAAGTAATTTTTGGATGGGCTGCTTCTGTACATGTCATTTTCAGTATTGGATTTATATACAAGTTGTCTATTACAATAATGTCTTGCTGATGATCTATGCTGGAAGCATTTAATTCTTACCTGCCTTAAGAAAATAATAATTCCTAAGATATAAATTAGGCATACTGGCTAAATGTTAAGAAAACAACTTTTGGAAATGTACCTGTGTCACCCATAACTAACTCCTACCCACACCTGACCCAATCCCTCCCCAGATAATTGTTTAAATTGCAGACACATGTTTAATCATCCAGCAGGATAATTTCTTAACTGGAAATGACTTTAAATTCAAGTATTTTATTCATTTAAAATGGAACTTGAAAAATGGCACTCAAGTCCACACATATTTTAATAAAACAACAAAATACTGCTTTGGCCTAACAGATTAGAAACAATTTTAATACTTGAAAACACCCAGCCGTGGGTACAAATAAAAGAACTGTATTGGTTGGAACATAAGTTGATATGATATTTTGGTTGAATAATTTGGTAGAATCTATTTTAAAACCTTAGTATTTACAAACACCTGGATATTTCTTATCCCAAATTCCATTTCTAGATATCTATACTACAGAAAAACCATAGTATGAGTACTTGATGATATATGTGCAAGGCTATTTACCACAGTATTATTTGTTTCAGAAACTTAAATTTTTTAAATAAGGAATAGCCAAATAAATTATATGAGAGTCAGATGATGGTCAAGCCATCATGGACCAGGAAGCCATTAAAAAGAATAAAAATTGGTCTGTAAAGATGATCGATGATAAGATGCTATATTAGGTGAAAAACACCATTAACAGAACACATAATCATAAATATACATACATATTTAGAGAGTAAGTGCTATGTGCATACTATACTTGCGTATGTGTGTCATTACATATTATAATAGAATAAAAGAATGAGTGATTTTTACTTTCAAAAGTTTTGTGATTTGAGAATGTAATTCATTTTAATAACTAAACCCATCTCACAAAATAATTAGTAAATGGCAGGGAAAAAATTGAGAGATTTTAAAATGTAATGAAGATTAAAGTATAACAACTATCAGCCTACTTTCAAGAGCCTAAATAATTAATTTATGAAGATTTCTCATAATATAATTTTAAAACTGCCTACTTGTAAATACTTTCAAGTAAAATTTCATAAAAGAATGTAATTTTCTGAAGGGCAGGAGAACCTATTTGCAGACACTAACAAGAGAAACTTCATAAATCAGGAATAAAGATATGAAAGGTGTGAGAGAACCAATTAAAAATGTTATTTCACTCACAAAATTCCTTTTCTTCAGAATGCCTTTGGCTTGCATTAGTATTTGTTTCATGAGCAAAAGGACTTTATAAAGAGAGGATTATAATGCACTTAGCTATTAATAAAAGAAAGTAATGAAAGATAGTTTTCTATGAGGAATTTTTTTCTCTTATCCAAAACTAGGTAGATACTTTATATCTGAAGTGACTCTACTTCTCGGTAAACATTTTTTAGACATGCTACCAGGCTCTCAGAATACAAATCACATATTCTCCATGGACAGTAAACATGGAATCCTGTTACACTATCTGCATATTGACCCACATCTGCAGGTAAGCTCTGGCCTCCCTCTCTCCATTTTCCTTCATGACCACACTTCTATAAAGAGCGGTAGTGACTCCCTTGCCTTACTTCCTTACTTCCCATTTATTCAGTCCCACTGCAATTCCATCTCCACTGTTCAGCTCTGCCCTTCAAGGAGGGATAAGACCAGACATCAAACCAAGTGGCCAGAAGTAGGACACTGGTTACTGAGTGGCCCTGGTTGGCACAGAGGAGGCAAAGGGATGAGCTTGAGAGAAAACTGACGGTCAGAACCTGGGGAAGGCAGAGTCCAGAACCATGAGAACAAGAAAAAAAGAGGAGAGAAGCACATCAGGCTGGGGGCTGGGGGAGAGGCCAGTGTCCAAGCAGGCAGTCACACTCCCTCAGACCAAAGTTCATCTGATCTTTCTTTAATAGACATAGAAGTATCCAAGTTATCTATTTTTTCTTAAATAAATTTTGGTGATTGTGTTTCCCAAGGAGTTGGCCCATTTTATCTAAATTGTTGGATTTATTGACATTGAGTTATTTGTAGTTTTCCCTTATTAGTCTTTAAATGTCTATAGGATCTGTAGTGATATCACCTTTTATACATCTCATCTGTGCCTTTTTAAATCACCAAATCCAATGGCTTCTTTTTGTGCTCAAGTGATTTGATTTCCCTGCATTTTCCCCCACTTTATGAGTCTTTGACTTCTTTTACATTCTCTCCCTTTCTTTCAGTTTTCTTTTTATTAATAGCTCGTTTACATATTTCAGAGTTCTGCCTTGGTTCTCTGCTTTTTCTCTTAAAAATCTCCCCCTTGACAAGACAATCTCCCTCGTTTTCATGATCTCTCCACTTACTTACCTACTGACAACTCACAAATGGGTTTTTCCAGCCTCTCTTCTCCTTTGATTTCTAACTCTCCTGTCCACCACTTAAACCTATTATTTTACTTTTAGTTAATAAAACGAGCGTTCTCCCTAAACTTGAAAGCCCTGAGTTACCATTAACTAATTCTCATCCTTCAACTTCTCTATTCAACTGGTAACCAAATGCTACTTTCCCTCAAAGCATCTCCCTGTGTCAATGCACCTGTCCTGATTATTTCCCCACCTGAATCTCTGTGACCTGTCACTGTCATTCATCCAGCTGGTATCATTTCTTGGCCAGACTATTCTGTGCTTCTCTCCTGTAGGTCTATGAACTAGAGGAAAACCAGAGTTATCTTATAAATATGCAGCCCATGTCCTGCCCTTCCTCTTCAGCAATTCCTGCTGGCTCCAGGATAAAGCCTTTGCATTCCAGGTTTGCCTTTGCTACCCGGTTTTCTGCTTTTCTTCACCACACCTGGAACAGCAGTCACACTCTCCTACCTGCCTGTTAACGGTCATTCCAGGGGCTTTCCTGCCTCCTTTACTTTGCCCATGCTGCCTCTCTGGCTGAATTCTGACTCAAGCTTCTAGGTAACATTCAGAGACCACCTTCTCTGTGAAACCGTTCTTCTTTTAAAATGTTTTTTCTTTGATGATAATAGCATATAGTGAAGTACACAGACCTTAAGTATGCAGTCTGATAAATCTGGGCAGTACACCCCATTAATATGCAGAGTGTTGCCACCACCCCAGAATTCCACCTTGGCTCTCCTCAGTCCCCCTTCCTCCTGTCACAGGTAACCACTGATCTGATTCTTATCTTCACAGACGAGGGTTTTTTTCATTTTTTACATCATAAGCGTGGAATCAACAGTACTGTATATAGTTTTTGTTTCTATATCTGCCTTCTGAGATTGATTCATGCTCTTGTTAGATAAGTAGCTCATTCCATTGAATAGCTGAGCAGTATCCACCACACGAACGTACCTCAGTTTGTAAGTGTAAACAACATTTACTCATAGATGGATGTGAGAGGGTTTTTGGAAGGGAGAGGCTGTAATGAAGCTGTTTTCATCTCTCTCTGTGCTTCCTTCTTCTATGCTACACACATTACAGTAATGTGGTTGGGTGTCTCTACCCTCACTTAATAAGTCTCATTGCAATAGTAATATTTAATATTTCTTGGGCATTTACATGTGGCAGGAAGTATGCTAAGTGCTTGACTTTCATGAGCTCATAGACAACCACAACAGTTCCACACTGTAGACAACATGCTTACCCCCGCTGGCAGAGAGGAAACTGAGCACTGCACAGGCCAAGTTACTGTTGTAAGGAGCAGAACCAAGATCACAATCTAGATCTATCTGATGCCAGCATTGCAAACTCTTAACAACGATGCCCTCATACTACATGCCCAGGCATGACTAGGTTCTAGTTTTAAAAAACTTAAATTCAATAAGTTTCTAAAGAAATTCAGCATTCATCAAACATGACAACGGTTGATCTGAAAAGATGCAACATATTCTTCACTGATAAACCAAGCAACTACCCTTGTGAAGTGATTTCATTTCGTATGCTTATTTCACAACAGCCACTCTACTTTGTTCACATTATTGTGCGTCAAAACAGGCAAGGCTCAGCTGGGCAGTCCTCGCTGGGGTCTCTCATGTAGCTGCACTGCAGATATACGAGTGCTTGCCTGGGCGGGATATCCATGATGGCTCACTCAATGTCTCCCAGCCCTGTCAACATGTAGCCTCTCCAAATTTCTTAAACATAGCTAACTTCCTCCAGAGCAAGTGTCCTGTATCCCGAAAGAACCAGGAAGAAGCTTCCCAGTATGGTAAGTCCCAGAGCATCCCTTCAGCCATGCTCTACCAGCCAAAGCAGTCACAATCCATCCAGCTTCACACAGAGAAGATGCAGACCTCACACTTGAAGACAGGAGTGACAAGGTCACATCATAGGGGAGCCTGTAGGGTGGGAGATGGTGTGGCGCCCATCTTTGGAAAACAGTCAGCCACAGCCACCTCCTGAACATTGATGGATTTGGGGCACATCATGTGAAGCACTTGATAGTAAAGACCTTCAGCTTGGGAAACTCCTCTTTGGGGTCAATAGTATCCTCATTCACTCAATGTTAGGTGGGTTTCTTAAGGGAAATTGAATAGGCAGATTCATTTTAAAGTTCATTTTATTTGAAAGTGTGGGACCAAGGAGTGCATGTTTTCAGAAACCTCTAAATAGTAAAAGTATAACTTTATGGCCATTTAGAACCAAATCAGATAGTCTTGAGTATCATCCAATAGTCTTGTAAACTGTCATCAACAGGAACTATAAACACTCCAAATGAATTATGAGTATTATAAAACAAACTTAACCCAAGCTATAATCACTTAGCATTGGCCATTTAAAGACTTTTGTTAAGGTGACCTTCCCAGTGAAACTGAGGTGACAGAAGGTATGACTCCAACTGTACCTGGCCTTCCGAATGTGCAGCTGAGGGTAGTGGTTGTGCCTGTGGCATACGTACACCGCAAAGTCCTCATCATACGTCAGACATGGAACATTCCCCACTTGGTCAAAAACAGTTATGAGAGTTGAGCCTAAATCACAAGACAAAGAAACATGTTTTTATTTCATCAAGGAATAACTCTGGGACTTCAGAGTAAAATGCAGTTTCTGTTCTAAATTGGTGCTGGGCACGGTGGCTCATGCCTATAATCCTAGTACTTAGGGAGGCCGAGAGCAGGAGCCTAGGAGTTCAGGACCAGCCCAAACAGACATAAAACCTTGTCTCTGCAAAAAATCAAAAAATTATCCAGGCATGGTGATGCATGCCTATAGTCCCAGCCACTCAGGGAGGCCGAGGGCAGGAGCCTAGGAGTTCAAGACCAGCCCATCATAGACATAAAACCTTGTCTCTATAAAAAATCAAAAAATTAGCCAGGCATGGTGATGCACACCCATAGTCCCAGTCACTCAGGATCCCCTGAACCCAGGAAGTTGAAGCTGCAGTGAGCCATGATCATGCCACTGTACTCCAGCCTGAGCAACAGAGTGAGAGACTCTGACTCAAAAAAAATATGTTTTAATTGTTATAATCAAATCTGCACATGCACATTGAGGACCTAGAGACCATTCTTATTTCCCATTCCCCAAAGCATTCTTCTAGTGTGAATATCCTGGTGGCCCACTGTGGATAGCAGGTGGCTGAGAGGCCTTACCTAGGCTCATGTAGGACGGAACTATGAGAAATATGAAGTGCAGTTCCGGCACTGTCTGAAACACAGTTCTGGCAAGGAAAAGAGGGTGGACAGGGTGTTAGTGACAAAGCACTCCCACTAGCTGGCATTCTATGGAGACAGATGCTATCAATAAAAAAACGAGGTATCCTAAACTCCACACGGATGCCTTCACCGCCCCCCCCCCCCACAAGGGCAAGAACAACTCCAGGGCAATTTCTTTTCCTTCTCTACTTTTCCTAGGATTCCAAAGGAGTCCTTTTCTATCTGTCCCATGGAGATAGAGAGAATAAAGGGGGCCATGTTCATATGGCACACCAGATTTCTGCTGATATTAACCTTTGACCTGGCATCTGGACAGTCTGGTGTGACGTTACAAAGTGACTTGAAAGATGAGGCTGCCACCCCCAAATGTCTGTGCAGGCTGTCAGAGACACATCACCATGACTCAGTGGCCCTGCTGATCATGTTTCAACGCATCTTATTATTCAGGATGCTTCTGCTGTCTGTCATGTTAATGAACATTTCTAAGATAAGACAGAGGAAAACTGCCTCAGAAACAACCACACTTACCTCTTCTCCTCCCCCCACTAAATCCATTTCTTTCAGTGATGCCACTACCTGTTTGCCTCAGATGGCAGAAGTTAAAGACATATGTGGAATGGAGAGTACATTCAGGGGATTATTGTTTGCAGAAATATTATTGCTGCTCAAAGTCAATACTTCAATGTAGCCACAAATTACAAGGAAATTAAACAACCTCAAGAATTTCATGTCATTTTAAAGACACTTTAAAACTATCCACATGATCTCTTTCCCATTCACCATTGGCAAGGCCACATCCACTCACCGAATAATCTCTCTGCAACAGCCCACGGAATACTCATCCACAGCCACAAAGAGGTGCATGAACAACGTGTTCAGAGGCTGCAAAAGAACAGAGAACATGGATTAAAGGCTGAGTTAGTACTCAGGCTAGGTTGGAGCAGGCTGGGAGGAGGACTTCAGGTGGCCACAGACCCAGAGTATGCGGCCTTTGGGGTTGCTGTTTTACGTCTAAGTGATGAGACATTCAGGCAGCATCTGAGCTGTCTCATTGACTCTGTTTGCTGCCTTCTGTCCTCCTAGCTCAGAATTATTCGAGGAACAGGGACCCTCACAGATAAGTCTGGAGCGCCCACCCTTCCCCCTGCCCTCACGAATGAGCTGTAGGCAGGGAAGGGCCTCCAGGGGAGTGAAATCGATTATTAACTCAGTGGTCTTGTCCTTGGGGGTGTCTCTGCCAAGTGAAAGACAATCACCCTTTCCCGGGGCTCTTGAGTCAACAGCTGCTGCTCTATTCATGTGACATGAGGGAAAGACTCTCTTATGAATTTGAAGGATGGAAGGCAGATGCCACGTTATGAATCCAATGGCTTGTTTTGTTCAACATTCCCAGAGTCAGAATCAAATATTACTCTTGGGATACAGAAAACCTGGAAGCTGAGACTCACACTAGCAAGATTCAAACATGACTTTCAGGTTAAATCTCCCAAGTTTTTAAAGAGCTTTGTCCCATGTTTCTGAAGACTTGTTAAGTAGCCTAAATAATGAAAAGTTGTTCTATATATCCACACATTGGTCAGCTCAACTCGGGACCCCTGTGTTTATGAGTAAATCTTTAAATTCTAGAAGCAGTGCACATGTGGGGTGGCCAGTGAGGAGAGCATCTGCAACTAGAGCAGGACAGCAGAAGCACTGCCTGTTTCTTGTTTTCTCAGTGGTTTTCTAGGCCTTGGATGACCAGCTGCACATTCGTGTGCTGGTCTCCCCTCCTGTTGGGTGGTATATGACTCAGAAGCACTTGGAAGGAATTGCACTGTGTATAAAAGGGCAAGAGAAAAACAATGAGTTTGATTCACAACCTTGAAAACTCCCAAACAGCAAATAACACAAAGTCCAGATAACAAGAATAATGATACAACTTTAAGCACTTCCTGTGTATTAACTCATTTAATCTAAATAGGACTAGCCTTCAGAGCACATGGCTTATTACTTGCTTGCTTTGGGTCCCAAATTCTCTCTTTCATTAGAAAGATTACAATTCAAGATGTATACTTTAACTTTAAGATAAAAGTAATTACTTAGTTGCAAGTACCCCTGGGATAGGTAATACATTAGGCCTTAAGGCTCTGTACTGGTGCTGCCCCATAGAAAACTAATGCAAGTGACAAATGTAATTTTAAATTTTCTTTTTTAAAAATTTTTTTTCATGTTAAGAAAGGACAGAGATAAACAGGTGAAATTAATTTTTAATATGCTTTGTTTAGCCTACTATATTCAAATTATCATTTTAATAAGTAATCAATCATTTTAATAAGTAAACATTATTAATGAGATATTTTTTCCTACTAAATATTTGAAATCTGGTATACATTTTATACTTACAGCACATCTCAATTTTGGCTATCTACATTTCAAATTCTCACTAGTTATCTGGTGGCTACCATATTGGACAGCCCACCTCTATACTGGCATAGGAAATAGATTAAAAAGAAACAATCCTACAAGAACAAGGAAAGAAACAAAAGGGAAAGAGTTTATACATAATAGTGTCATTCATAGTTTTCAAAAAGGTAAAATCATAACCCTAATGCAAATATAAAATGAACACTAATCAGAGATTATTCAACTTCAACTCATCTATTAATAAGGCAACTAGTGAGATGATAAAAACAATTGTAAGCTAGGCACAGTGATTCACACCTGTAATCCCAGCACTTTGGGAGGCAGAGGCAAGAGGGTTGCCTGAGCCCAGAGGTTTGGGCTAATCAAAAAATTAGCTGGGTGTGGTGGCACGTGCCTGTGGTTCCTGGTACTTGGAAGGCTGAGGTGGAAGGATCGCTGGAGCCCAGCAAGTCGAGGCTGTGGTGGCCGTGAGTGTGCCTCTATACTCCAGCCCGGGCAAAAGAGGGAGACTCCAACTCAAAAACAAAAACAAAAACAAAACAACCAATTCTTTGTATTGAAGAGCTGGATACTTCATGTAATTTAATAAGGAATGTAAGAATAAGATAGTGGGTCAGATACAAAATAGTTAACATCTTACAGGGCCATAAACCATAGCCTTCAATGTTAGCTCTTTTACCAGACAGGAATTATTTATATCCAAATGGACAAAAATCTGTTAGGTAATTGGTGTCCCTACATAACCGTAAAACAGCCCAGTCAAATAGAAAGTCAATCAAAGGGACAAGCATTGGACTGAGTTCGGGATCGTTTTTCTGACAATGATACTTGGGTGTGCAGGGTGGTAGGGGCAGGAAAGAGAACAGCAGGCGAGGGGATGGCTGTGTGTCACTGAAGAAATGCTGAAGAATTTCATTAGGAGTGCATTTCATGGGTGTGTATGTGTGTGCGTGTGTTGCATGTGTGTATATGCATGTGTGTGTATGCACATGGGGGATGAATTTTCTCATGCACTTATCTCACATTTTCTCTTTATCTGACATCAGGGCTCTGGAAATGTGCTGGTGAATTCCACCAACAGGCAAGAGTGCTGCCCAGAGTCTCAGTCTCTGGCTCTCCATAGAAACTGGGGCCTATCCTTGGCCTGGCTCTGGCAAGCCACATCAGGGCAAGTACTTGGCACCAGGTACCCTGGGAGCCACTAACCTAGAGTCTGTGAGCTGACAGGCTGTCATGTGCCTACAGTCAGAAGACAGCAAATGAACCAAGGTCCACAAGGACACTTTGAAAATCATAAAGTATAACATAAGTCTGAGGCTCTATTGTCATTTTTACAAGTGCCAATGTGTAGATGACAGGGGCCCTCCCAGCATATCAAAGACCTCGGACACCGACACCCGGAGAGTAGTATGAGAACTGGGAAGCACAAGTCTGAGGCTTCCACCCATTCCTGTTCCCAACCCCAGTGTGCCCAGCAGGACCGAGGACTCCCAGCGGCCGGCTAGCTTGGCCACCCACTACCCTTTCTAGTCCCTCTGACCTTGCTCTCAACCCTCCTGTTCTCCCCACCAGCTAACTTCACTTTTAACTGTCAAGATGTCATATACATTCTGTGTAAGTTTGGACAGCTCAGTCCAAAACCTGGAAAGACATGATTGCAAATTCATAACTTCCCTTCAAAATTTCATCTGTTCTATCAAGCATTGCAATGAATCCTTACTGTGCACGGGATATCACTGTCGAGCTCCCTGAACAATGGTATCCAGTCATCCTGCTTGGCAACATTCCAGTTGGGATAGTCCAGGAAAGTGGCTTGTGCCATAATCTCTTCCTTGTCATTGTAGAGGGTAATGGCAAGGTTTGCTTTTTCCCTGTGGAAATGGTTAAAATTGCAAACATGAATAAAATGATAAAGTGAGGTGAGGATGTGTCATCTTCTCCCTCCTTGGGCTCACAGCCACCTTATGGGGATCTAGGAATCTTTGCAAAAGGTGGAAGGATGTTGCAGTTACTCTGGGCATAGATATTTCAAAACAACTGGTGCCATCAACTAAATTTTTCATTGAAAATTACGCTTCCTTAGACTTAAAGCCCAGACTTCTTGCTACCATATCATGCATCTATATAACCAAAAACTATTTGCATCCTCTAAAGCTATGGACGTAAAAAAGAAACCAAAATAAATAAATAAAACTATGTTTCATTAGAAAAGTGTCATATTTATGATACCGAGTATCTAATACCCTTTCCTGAAGATTGACTGGGAAAATATTTGACAGTTTCCCTCACCCTCTCCATTGCCAATACTGCTGTGTGGGCTTAACCATGTCAGCTAGGGTCACCAACTGTTCCCCTTTGCCCAGGACTGAGGGCATGCACAGGGTATAGAAAGTTCCCTACATATGAACATTCAAGCTATAAATTAACGATGCACACCTGCTTTTTTATGTATTACTTCTCTCAACCAGGTATCAGTATAGTCCATTAAATACATACAATACTATGTAGTCAGTCGATTGTGTTACCTGGGTACTTAGGCTAACTGTGTTCGGAACCGAACTCATTCATATGCTGGGAACTTCCTGTATAGGACTATGTAGAGCAGCAAAGCTGTGAGTTTAGCTCCATCGCTATCAGCATTCTTAAACAATTTCTTCCAACCCTGAGCTAACTGATTCACATGGAATCTGAACAGCTGAGATATCACCTAACCCAGCTGCAGAAATGGAGACTCTCCTGGGTCTTGCTAAACTAAGGCGACCTAGTGAGTTAACAAAGCCAAAGGAGGAAGATTTGGTCTTCCGACTCTGGTTCTGGGGCTATCCCAAAGGGGCTGTCTTGATGATCTCACCCAGTTGCTGTCCTGTCCTGTGGCCTGTCAAGACAGTGAGAGCTATCACCTAAAGACAGCATATAGTTAACTACACAAGGAACCATTTGCCTATACACTTAAATGCAGCTTTCATTTTCTTGGTGAAATGAAATCTACCGGTATCTTAAGTTGAAGGGAAAAAGATGTAAACATTCCTTTAAAAAACAAAGAAGGTGGGA